ACTAGATGACAGGCACAGTTGGCAGCAAGGACAGAGGAAGAAATAAGCAAGCTAGAGCAGGGAAAGAACAGGAGATATACTTAGAGGAGCTGAATGTTTTCAAATTAACACTGCCAGACAAGACACACTCTAGACAACTCAAGGAACTGGTGGAGGTAATTGCAGAGCCACTGGCTACTCTCTTTGTGACCTCATGAAGGTTGGGTGAGGTCCCAGATGAGCAGGAAAGGAGAAATATAGTGCATATTTTTACAAAAACAAACAGGAGGATGATCCATGGAATCAGATTGGTCAGTTTGACCTGGAAACCAGGAAAGATCATTGAATAGGGCAGTAAGAAATCTATTTCTAAGTACCTAGAAGATAACAAAATGACTAGGAATCACCAGCACAGATTCACTTAAAACAAGTCATATCTGACCAACCTGATTTGCTTTTAAGACAAGGCAACAGGCTTTCTGGGTGAAGGGAGAGCAGTGGCAGTGGATGTGATCTACCTCAGCTTCAGCAAAGCTTTCAATACTATCTATATATAACAGACAACTATAAGGAAATGATCCTTCGGGCACAAAGGGAGACAATCCCGATGCAAGGAAAAAGAGGGAATGGGGCCAGGAGGCTTCCTTGGCTGACTAGAGAAATCCAGGGCAGCCTGCGGACTAAAAGGGGAGCATATAAAAAGTGGAAACGGGGAGAGATTACCAAAGAGAAGTATACCTCCTCTGCTTGCACTCGTAGGGAGGCAGTTAGACGGGCCAAAGCTACCATGGAGCTGACGATGGCATCCCAAGTAAAGGATAACAAGAAATTGTTTTTTAAATATATAGGGAGTAAAAGGAAGGCCCAGGGTGGAATAGGACCCCTACTAAATGGGCAGAAGCAATTGGTGATGGACAGGGGGGACAAGGCTGAACTCCTCAACAAGTTCTTTGCCTCAGTGTTTCTAAGTGAGGGACAGGACAAGGCTCTCACTGGGGTTGTAGAGAGGCAGCAGCAAGGCACCAGACTTCCATGCGTAGACCCTGAGATGGTGCAGAGTCACTTGGAGGAACTGGATGTCTTTAAGTCGGCAGGCCCGGTTGAGCTCCATCCGAGGGTACTGAAGGCACTGGCTGACGTCACTGCACAGCTACTGGCGGGAATATTTGAATGCTCGTGGCGCACGGGCCAAGTCCCGGAGGACTGGAAAAGGGCCAATGTGGTCCCCATTTTCAAGAAGCTGTCCAGATTCAGGCCTGATAGCATTGGGAGGCAAGAATGTTGTATCCTCTGGTACTGCAAGACCCTGGCTACTGCTGCAACCAGAGCAAGGTGTAGTGGTGGCCAGGTGGGAGCCCAGGGGCTGTATCTTAAGCTCTCAAAGGCAATATGGGGCCTGCTCAACATTTATATTAGATGCTAGTAGAGCATCTCCTTTCACTGGTATATTTCGTCTGGAATAGCCAGTAGTCTGATGTTTGTTCGACTCACTTCTGGTCTCAATTTCAATTTTCTGTATTCATGCTCTGGTAAAATATTAACCTGAGCTCTAAATGAAACCATTGTTCCTGGCACTGCCATTGGCAAAATGCAGTCCTTCTAATTGATTTTGCTGGATTCTATCCCACCTTCCTCCTCCAGTGGCTGGAAGCGGTGGCCAAGAAATGGGAGGAGACTGCATGGGCCCAGTGGGAGGTGAACTTGACCCTGGAGGAGAGGTGGTGGGAGGAGGACTAGTGGTGGAGGGAGGACATTGCCTGGGAGGAAGTGTACCAGGCTGAGCTCCTGGCCATGGAGCAGAAGTGGATTCAGGTCCTGTGGGACCCAAATACCATCCTGGGCCAGGCTGTGCAGGCCACATACAATGACCGTTAGTCCCTGGACACTGTCCCAGGCCTGGCAGTCTCCTTTGTGCCCACCACTGCCCAGCCCCAGGCCCTAGCCCCAGAGGCCCCCTGGCAGCTGCCCATTGCCCTGTATCAGGCCCCCACCTGGGCCTGAGAGAAGGTAATTTCCCACTTCCCACTGCCAGGAGCTCCTGGCCTGGCTCCCCACCCCAGGTCTGTTACCACGCACCTGGGCCCAGGCCTGCCAGTCAGCCTGTCTCCATGCCCAAGGGGATCCAGAGCTGCTTGGAGCAGTGCTAGGACTGGGCATCAGTCCCACTGGACCTGGACTTCACCAGCTGGAGGGGGAGCTGCCCACACTGAAGAAGCACTGGTGCCATTGTCCCTGAGTGAGCCCCCACCTGTTGCAGTTGCTGCAGTGTGCAAACCCGTGTGGGAATGGCCAGAGGTCTGGGTCCTGTCTGCCTATTCCTGGGCTTTGCCCCCTAGGCACTCCCATCCCATGGCCCCCAACTCTGGGACTCCACAAAAACACACCTTATACATAGTTTCCACAGGAAAAATCCTGCCTATGCAGGGGGTCGGACTCGATGATCTATTGAGGTCCCTTCCGAGCCTAGCATCTATGAATCTATGAATCTCTCATGAGATGTGTTCAACCTGTAGCATGTGTAGCAGGGAAGTCTTTATGTGTCTTACCATATAGAAGATGGGGCAGGAAGCAGAAAGGAGAGTAGCAGATTGGTCAAGGGGAGATCAGACTAACACTCAGGGATGCCATGGATTTTAATTTGTGGCACACCTCCCAAAAAGGTTGCCCTTTACTGATTTAGAAGAAAGTACTGTAAGGTGCACACATAACTAGTGGAATCAGCAAGCTCAAAGGGAAGTCATCAGTGGTTTGATATCTAAGTGGGAGTAGGTACTGACCAGGGTTACCCAAGGATCTGTCCTCGGTTCATTGTTTAACTCCATTGTTAATGATCTTGAGAAAAGGCCTGAATGCAAGGTTAGCAAATTTGCAGGTTACACCAAGGTCAGTGGAGTTGCAAACACACTGGAGCACAGAATTAGGACTCAGTTCTGCACTTAAGATAGAACCATCAGACACATAAATACAGACTGGTGATGGATGAGCTACACTGCAGTACTGCAGAAAGAGACCTGGGATTTATGACAGAACATAAGCCAAAAACAAGTTACAATAGATAAATTAGCTGCAAAACAATCCAACAGCATACCAGATGACATTAACAAGAATGTAACTTGCAAGTCAAAGTGATTCTTCTATTCAGTTCAGTGCTGGTGAGGCCTCACCTAGAGTACCGAGTTCACTTTTGGGCAGTGTATTTAAGAGAAACACTGACAAACTAGGAAGAGTCCAGTGGACAGCAACAAAAACAATCATGGGTTTAGGAAACAAGATAAAAAAGGAACATCTGGATGAACTATTTAGTCTGAAGAAGAGAACACTGAAGGGGGATTTGATAAGTCTTCAAATACCCAAAGTATGGTTGTAAATAAGACACTGGTTCCCAACCTCAGGGCACAATCCAAATCAGGGTCACAGGAGTCCTTAATAGGGTCGTAAAGGGCCCACACACAACACGCATGTGACCTGGGAGCGGTGGGCAGGGCAGGGCTGCCGTGCACAAAGGGGGCAATGGCAGCTCCCCCATCCCTGCCCCTGCCCCAGGCTGCTGTTGCCGCTGCCACCGCACTCTGCTTCCAGCAGCCCCCGTGGCACTGGGTCAGGAGGTCCTGCTGCTGGCCAATTTAGGGTTGCAGCAAAACAAAGGTGGGGAACTACTGAAACAGGATGTTGACAACTGACTATTCAGCATGGCCACAAGGGACAGGACAGGATGTAACCATCTTAAATTGCACCAAGAGAAATTTTGGTTGCATATTAACTCTCTCTCCGTATGAGAGCTGCTAAGCATTCGGAGTAGCCCCGGCTGGCTGGGGATCCAGGGGGTCAGCCGGCCAGCCCAGGGCTGCTCTGACATGGCTCAGCATGCTACGGCAGGGTTGGCTAGGGCACGAGGGTGCTCCACTGCGGGGCTAGCTGGCAGCACCTTTGTGCCCCAGCCAGCCACTTCAGTGTCTGCATGTGTGCTGCTGCAGAGTAAAAAAACTCCACAACAGGATAGTACTTGTATTCACTATCCTGCTGCAGAGTTTATTAGTTTACTCCAGCCTAATAGCCCTGCACCTGTAGATGCCAGAAGTTTACTGCAGAGCTAATTAGTCAACTCCACAATAAACTCTCATGTGGACACATCTCTAGAGAGGTTTTGGACTCCCCATCCCTGGAAGTTTTTAGAGGAGGTTAAACACTGGGCTAGGTCAGTTTGGACAGAAATGATTCTGCTTTTAGCAAGTGGTTGGACTAGATAACTTTTTGAAGCCCCTTCCAGCCCTATTTTTCTACGATTCTATGCAAGGACTTATAGCAAGGTATGGCATGCTCTGAACACACCTTCATCCTCTGGGGAAACGTACTCCAACAGGGACTATGAAAACGACTCTGAATTCTGGAAGCTGTTCAACACCCAGGGAAAACCCTAGTACCTAAAGTATTTTTTGAGCAAGGCCTTGGCCCTTTGATCTGCTCTGGCAGTATGAAAAAGCTGCAGCATATTAGAAAGTTTAGCTCACAGAATTTAGAAGAAAGATGAATTAATGTAGCCCTTCCCCTGAACCCTACATTATACATGACAGAATATTAAAACACGTTTTGCTTGTCGCTAGTTATAAAACTGTTATAAAAAGGTTTAACTTTTGCCATTTGCATAGTTCAGTAACCATAGTTACCTAAATCTATGACAACTTCAAATTTAAGATGATCTTCCACTAATTAGACTCTTTACATGGAAAATTATAACACCTTGATAATTTTCCATGTACAGAGACTCTAATTATTGGGGGGGGGGGGGTCATCTTAAATGTGAAGTTGTCTTGGATTTGGGTAAATGTGGTGGGAAGTTACACATGTGCTATAACATGTAAAGAATCTAAATAGTGGAAGGTCATCTTAAATCATCCCCCTCCTGCAGTGACCGGGCAGGAGAAGGAGTGGCAAAGAGCAAGGGATCTGCTTCTCCCCCCCTTGCCCCTCTGTGCCTGAGCCTGTCCCTGCTCCTGCTCCCTACATCTTGCCCCCACACCTACCTCCAGCTCTGACAGGCGGCCGCAGCAGCAGACCGGACGCTGCCCAGCCCAGGAGAAGCAGTGGCAGCCCCCAGCCAGGCAGGGCCAGGGGCTCCAGCGCTGGAGCAGAAGGGCGAGGGGAAGAGGCAGCTGGGGCGGGGCAGAGCCAGAGAGGAAGG